TTCCATTTCACTGCTTCCTCTTTTCTTCAAAGCCATGTCCATTAGTTTTAATAAAGTATGTTATTCAGTTGGCATTGTTGTTCATGCCTTGGCATCCTATTTGTGCTTGTGTGTCTCTTTAGGCATTCTGTTAGTGGACTCACCACGACCACTTCATGTGTATGCTGTTTGGGCTTTGTAATGGTCCCTGGAGACCAGTCATTTGAGTCATGTGAATAGCTGCCGGGGAACTGAGCCGACTCTTGAAAGATACAGTAAATGCATTAATCATGATACCCACACTGACAGCATAGAGGAAAGGTGATACCTAGTCAGTTTCACAACTGAATGCATTCAACCAAAATGTGTCTTCCGCATTTAACCCAACCAGAGCATATGAGCGGAATGGAGCGGTGAGAATCTCAGCTCCTCGCTCACGGAGCTGTTCACCCCTCCGCTCCCCCCGCTCAAAGCCACATCAGGCCAGTCCGCTCATTATCGCTCAGCGCTCAACGAAGTTTGCATCGCCCCCTCGCTCGCTCCAAAAAATGAAAAAAATCTGCATGTATTTCACTTTTAGCTTAAACCACAGCCTTACCTCCCAAAGAACTAAAGAGCAACGACAACATTTTCCAAATATAAATGTTTTATTTCAAATTACAAATTAGGCCTACCCTATGTAAGAAGGAATATACACAAAAAGTCTTGTAAAATTAAACGAATCAATGGGCCTAATTATATAAATAAAAATATACAGGCTATACATCAAAGTTTTAAAAGTAAATTAACTATTAGGCCAAAATTCTGATAACTTAACTTTTGCGCAGCTTGCACGTGGATTACAATTTAAATTGGCTTATATCCATTGTCAAACTTAAAAAAAAAAAATAAAAAAAAAATGAATTGCTTCCTTATCTACAGTTCTTTTTGAGTTCACCTTCAAGAACACAAGTTTGGCCAATTTCTGAGGCTTCAGACACATGCGGTGGTTTCTTGACAGCAGGCCAGCTGCGGAGAAAACCCTCTCTGCGCTCGCAGACCCGCTTGGGATGCTGAACACAATGCGAGCTACTTTAGCCAGGCGGGGAAAAGACGTGGAGTTTTCTTTCCAAAATCGAATAACATCTGCGTCCGGGTTCTGTCTCGGGGATGAGAGGTAATTTTCGACTTCACCTTTGGCGTCTCCGGTTATGCGTAGCTGCTCACTGAAGTATGACCCGAACAGGCGAGCTCTTTTTGGTTCAGGCTCGGAATTCAGGTCAGCGGCGGGTGGGGTGTCTGTCTCGGGTGTCCCGCTGGGAGCGTTAATTTCCTCAGCTTCTTTTATGAGGAGGTCGCGGATCTCCCCGAGTTTGTTGCATACAGACTCATCTCGGATTATCCATTCTGTCTTGAAACGGTGATCAAACACTGATGCTAAAATGAGATGTTTATCAGTGTAGTATATTCCATAGCGAATTGACACATTGTTTGCCAATGTTTCTGCAAAAGCAGCGATGCCCATTGAAAGTGCAGCGTGAGTGTCATCGGTGAGCAGGGATGTGATTTCTGTGACAGCAGGGAGGATCATCCCCAGGTTCCCCAGCTCCTTCTGCATTTTGTCTGTGAGGTCTGCCAGTGGTGTCAGCACACTGACAAGGTGCGTCAGCTGCCGTACTCGATTCAGGGTGATGTTAGCAACATTAGACTTGAGTTTGTTTTGCCATAACGGGTCTTTTTGGAACAACCGGATGAACGACTGAATCATCCGCAGCTGGCTGCGCCATCGAGTGGCGCAGGCATTTGTGGTGCGGACACCTAATTGGTCGGTTTCCTCTGTGTTCAGGGTGCTTTGCGTACACTTTTCACCAGGTGCCTGACTTTCACTAACAGCCTATTAATGTTGTCGTGCTCGTTAATGGCGTCTTTGATCGCCAGCTGAAGCATGTGAATGGGGCATCTCAGATGTAAATTTGACACAGTAAAGTACTGATTTATCATAGTTTCTACATTAGAGGTTATCACTTCCACATGGACTTGCGAGGGCGCAGGTGGTCCCTCATCCTCCTCTTCATGTTCTGCGCTGCTGCTGGCATCCACGGTCACTTCACCCTCCGCCTCCTCTTCAGTGCCAGGGAGGAGGTTAAATGCCTTGATCATGTTGCTGGCACTGTCAGTGACGACCCGAATCACACGTCGTTGCACGTTCCAATATTTCAGTACACTTTCATACTTTTGGTAAATACGATATGCGGTATGGTGCCCCTGTATGTGCTCACAGCCCAACAAAACCGTGTGCCCCCGGAACGTCCCATCAATGAAACTGGCCACAATGCCAAGGAAGCTGTGCCCTCTTCTACTGGTCCAAATGTCCGCTGACAGAACGAGCCCATCACCATTTTGCAGTAGGTCTTGCAGTTTGGCTTATCTCTTCCGGGGCATGTGGCATGAGTGTGTCCCGTACGGTGTTGTAGCATGGGGGGGTGTAGCCCGGTTGAGCTGTGCTGGCGAAGTGTTGCATCCCTTCGCGTTCTCCTTTACACAGCGGTTCATAGTCCATGTAAATCATTTTTAAAAATGCTATATCCAGCTCTCTTTTTCTCTCCCTTGTTATGGTTAGGCCTTTGTGTGCAGTGAAGAAACTTTTGAATTCCTCAACCCTTTTCTCTTGTTGCTGCTGCTGCTCCTCTTGCTCTATAAAATACAAATTCATGGACGACACAAATTAAATTAAACGAACCATATATTAGGCCTACTTTGAATGACAAAACTATTTTGTTTGAATATTAGGCTATATTTACTTTACACTTTTGTTACATGTTACCCTATTCAACTTGCTAACCTTTTGCTTTCTTCCCAGCGTGTTCACGTAGCACACTTTCGTGTTTTCGAGAGATGTGTCTTTTTAGATTCCAAAAATAATCTTTACTGACTGAAACGATGTCACCACATTCTTTTTCTTGAACAACATTATCATTGTTAGTTAGTTTTATATTAATTATTGAGCCGAGTTTTGACTGAAAATAGTCTACTGTTGATGACTGTGCAAGACACAGATGGATTCTGGGTCAGGCTTGAGCATCCTTCAGACTCGTGGTGTGAGCGGAGCGAAATTGGAGCGGGACATAGGGCGACGCTCCGTCCTTTTAAAAATGCCGCTCTGCGCTCTGTCCAAAATCCGTCCGCTCGCACTCCCCGCTCGCTCCTGCTCCACTCCGCTCACAATCAGAGAGCATGTGGGAAGTGATGAATGGGTTGATGTTAGTGAAGACTGAATCAGACACACAAATGTACCATCCGGGTGGACAGCTGGCTCTTTGAATAGCACATAAGAGGGACCCGTTATAATAGTGGGTGACCAGAGATTACATTAGTACCAGTGAAGGACATGGCCATATTTTGAATGTAGATTAATAGTTGAGTTTAATCAGCCATTGTTAGAAATGATCTTCAACAATTCCCAGTGTGTTCTATGTAACCTAAGTAGAAGGTTTACTGTAAGGACATGGATCCATTTGGCTCACACTGTGGCTGTCCTTGGTTTAAGGCTGTCTCAGACACTGTTTTCTGACCCAGATTGGTACACCACTTGTGCCAAAGTGACTTCACTGGGGGTCCGACACTGTACCCCCCACTCGCTGCTTTTGCCCTCGTTTGCTTTGTGGCTGTAGGACATTATTGCTAAACTTGGAAGGGACCAAGTGTATTTCCGTAAATTGGATTTACTATAGACCCATTTTAACAGATCTCTGTGCAGTCACATGATTCTGTGCAGTGAATATACCACCTATGTATGTTAGCCCGCAGTACAGTCTGCTACACTCCTATAAAGCTGGCCTGTGCTTTAGCTCTGCTGGATGGTCACTCGGGGACCAGGGGACTGTGGTAGTGAACCAGAAGCATGGCCTCCATCCCTGTCAGCCTCCTCCTCCATCCTCCTCCTCTCCACCTCTCCACAACATCCTGCTGCTTTACAGTCACAGAAGGAGGATGAACCAGCCTTGAATGTTAAACCGACGGCTATATTCCAATGAAGAAAGAGAAAAAGGAAAACAGTTGGCCACCACGTTATTGCATTCTGGCAGTTTCTCGCTTGTTTGTTGTGGTCTACATTTGGAGTGAGCTGTTAAAATATTAACAGGCATGTATTTCAGGGGATGAGCTCATTTTCCCTTGCAGACTTGCAATAAGGCAAGAATAAGGCAGTAAAGCTGTTATTTCCTTGGCCTGCTTCTGCTGCGCTCCATGGGCTGTTTGGGTGTTAACCTTCCTCTGTGAGTCTAAATCAACTAAAGCATATTTTCCACCAGCCAGACCCCTTAGCACCATCTCAATGAGTTGACTGTCGTGGGATCATGGGACCTGCTGCTAGGAAAGGCTTCTTTGAGAAAGGCTGTCTTTCTGTTGCACACCATGCGAAAATACACTGTTCTCTCTTCTGATTGAGTTCTGTGTATTCCTGCTTCTCCACAGTGGTGGTGGTAGATAGCGGCAGAGCTGTGAAGTTCCCTCTTGCTGGTCCCTATAGAACCTGTCCCAAGCCTCCTGTCCTGTTCTTCTCTGCTGGCTGATGAGCCCCTTAGCGAGGGCAGATGGAGAGAAATCTAGAGAGAAGGAAAGACAAAAGAAACGGATGGCGATTAAAAGATCAGAGTCACAGAGAACAAGTGAAAGTAGTGAGGGACAGGGGTCTCTGTAGTTGAAAGCAATGGCAGCAGCTCACACTCACAGACAATGAACAGCAGCCCTGCAGTGTCTCAGAGAAAGGGAGAGGGAGAGAGGGAAAGGGGGAGAGAGAGAGAGAGAGGGAATGTTTGGGGAGATAGGGAAGTGGGGGGGGGGTAGGGAGCGAGCGGGAAGGTGTGGATGAGAGATAGGGGAAGGTTTTTAGGGATATATAGGGCAGGGGAGGTTATTAGGGAAGGGGCTTTGGGAACTTGAGGAAGAGCAAGCGAGTGAGAAGAGGGGAGTCAGAGGAAGTGAGAGAGAGAGCGAGGGAGAGAGAGGAATCGCAAGCAGTAGGACTGTGAACAGTCTAGACAATGGAAGGACACCACCCCGAGCATCTCCAGGATTGTGTGTGGACCATCCGTTTGCCTGAACACCTTGAATGGAGTATCTGAGTTAAAGGGAGCTGCCTGCCGTTTACTCGAAGAGTGAGTGACAGACAGACTGTGTGCCTGAAGAGCTGCGATCTCAAAGCTTTCATGCCGGCTGCATAGGAGTTTAACCTGGAGACTTGCCGCGGGTCTTAAAAGCCGGATGAAGTAGCGGACTCTGGATACTTGCTAGATTTGTTCCTACTCTGAAGTGTACTGGCTGTGGACGGACTGGAGTGTGTGTGCTGAGAGGACTAAAGTGTGTGTGTATGTGCTGTGTGGAATGACAGGATCAGAACTCTGGGTACTCTGACAGGACAGGGTCAGGGGTTGTAGTAGAGTTGATATAGGTTAACAAACCATATTGGTTGTAATATAGATTGTTTTGTATTAGTCAGTTGTAGGATTTGATATCTCTGTATTGATGAGTTATATCTACTGTATCTATTATGTCATTTAGGCACAGAAAAACATTGATTCTCAAGATTGGCCTGGGAGCAGAGTGCCCTATTTAAATAGTTAAATGATTTGCAGTTATTTTGAAGGATACTAGACCAACTGTTTGAGTGGTGATGGCAGATGGCTGCACAGGGGGACAGATTATGTTTTAATATTCAGCTTTGACTTAAATGAGTGATGTTGATCCCAAGTCATGCAAGTTGGTGACCATGTATAGCCTAAATCATTAGGATTAACTCAAAGGTGCATGCTTTGAGTTAGCTTTGATCAGAATTAGTTAGTTCATGTATTAGATTAAATTGTTTACAGGTCCAGAGTGAAAGCACCATCTCAGCAGTTACCCATCCCACTCTAGTGTTTTCTGTTTCAGGAGCCACATGTAGACATTGAGTTAATTCTAAGCATAGCTAGTAACCTTGATTGATTCATCATAGCCAACTAAAGCTAATTACTGTCACTCTGTTTTCAATTATCACCTCTGTCTGTCGGTCCTCTCTGCCACGCTGGGTTTCCTGATTCACGCGTGATCCAGGTGGGAGATTCCTGCCTGGTATGTGTGTGTGTGAGAGCGTGTGTGTGAGTGTGATCTACTGACCGTGTGGAGGAGTGGGGAGAAACTGGGATGGGCCATGGATGAACTGTATTAATCATTCGGCTCCTGCTGCTCCGTGTGAGTTCTAAAGAACTATTCACTGGGCCGAAACGAATCACCTCCCCGGGAGAGAAACCCCCCAACTGCTGTGATACGCTTCTCTCTAGTTTCAGAGATCCTCTCGCTCATTAACAACTGGAGCAAATTAGCGGGAAGAGGAATCTGCATGCTTGCAACTTTAGACAGAATAGCCTGTTTCAAGGGAACTCATCTTGTGTAAATGTATTTGAGTATATGCACCATTTTGTCTATGGTTGTCGTCTAAGCAGGACAATGTTACATGTGTGGCTGTTCTCGACTCTGTTGAATGTATATCTGTTTTTGAGTGGTTTTGAGCTGGTAACCAGAGCAGAGTGGACACAGCACTCTAGCTGTTAACTAGGAGAGACAACCACAAGACCCTCGACCCCCTAAACCCCTGAGACCCAGTGGTCTTTAACTCGATCCCAGGTGAAAGTGGTTTGGCCCCCGCTGTTGTGCGGGAGCTGCCGCCTGCCCACTGTGGTGCCACCGTCACGCTGTCTTCCCTGCCCTCGTGGTGCTGGTGCGCTCGGCTCTGCTGGCCCAGGATGATGTGGCAGTGCCATGTGTCGTCGTTGGAGTGCCGCTGCTACCGGCTCAAAGGTTTCTCCCTGCTCAAGCACTTCCCTCTATCTACAGGTGGGGCGGCTGGGCGGCTGCTGGACCAGCCAGTGGGAGACTGGCTGGAGCACGTGGGGCTGCCGCAGTACGAGAGCAAGCTGCTGCTCAATGGCTTTGATGACCTGCACTACATGGTGAGTCAATCTCACACACACACTCCTCCTTCCCCGCTCTCTCTTGCTCTCTCCTTATCCTCTTATATTTGACCTACCTCTCACTCCTTTGGGGCTAATCTGGGGCTGTCTCACCCCCTCCTTCCTATCTCACTGTCTCTTTCTCTCATCTTCTGGAACAATGTCTATTTTTTAGTTTTTTGTTCTGCCTGCCTACCTCCTTTCAAAGTCAGTCAGACCTCCTCAGAGTCAGTCTCCTCCTCCTCCTTCAGTTGGTATTAATCAAGTATCGATGCAGCCGTCCATTAACCTTAACAGATCCCATTAGCATTCCCTGTAAATTCCAATTTACTTAAACCCCCCTGAGATCCCTGCCTCCCCCTTTCATTCAATCACACGTTCCTGATTCTCCTCTGTGCAATAAGACCCAGGTCCTCAAGCGTTCCTGTCCTTCCTTGTGTGATGTCTTTGTCAGAGATCTCATTCACGTCAGGAACATTTTGAAGAATTGCAGTTTCTTCATTCACACAGGTTAAAGCCTACATTGCATGATTGATGGCATCATTGCGTTGCATGATGAAGCTTTTTCTTGAAAATAATTGAAAAGGGTGTTTATGAATGTAATGTCACCAAACATTCCATGCTATTTTCCTAATTGGATAATTGAATACAGTTCATCAAATTACCTGCTCAGATTACATGTGCTGTACAGTGTTGAGGCATGCGTCATCTCATTAGAAAGGTCAACTTTTAGCCCTTCTGACAGGACTGTAACAGTTGGTTGGTTTGATGCCTGGAAGTTGATTAGACTTATTGGGTCTCCGCCACTCAGTGGCTGTCTGATTAGATGATGTTCACATGGTTGGTGACATTGGCATCGAATCACCATAATGTGATGTTCCTGTTTACTAAATAACTCTGTAAACGCAATTAATGAAAGCATTTAAAGATGAAAATACCAGTGAACCCCCTAGGCTCCCTCTCTCACTCTCTCTCACTCTTTCTAACACACACACACACACACTGACAGTCAATCACAACTGCTGTGAATAAATTACTGTTAAATATTTCCAAGGACACTGCCATGATTAAAAAAGAGCTGCAGCCAAGAACACACAACAGCACTGCAGATAGAGCAGTCAGGGTTAGGGTTGCAAAGGGAGGGTATATGACTGGAAACTTTCTAAGTTTACCAATAAACTACCAGAATTTATGTATCTTTCAAGGATTTTATGTAATCTATCACAAGACATCTAATGGCCCTTTTGGGTACTTCAGATGATCACAGGTATCTGTAATTATCTCTAGCCCACCGTGTGGCCTTATCACAAGTAAAATATTTGAAATAATTAAATAACATGATTTTTAAATAAATCATAAAATGACAAAGCTGTAAAACATTATCCTAAATATAAACCATTAACTCAGTGAATACCGTTGGTGTTTAATATGAGGGTTTCAGCATGAAATATCCATTATATTTTTTATACACTTTTATTCATTTCACAATATCAGTATGTATTTGTTGTCAATGTTTTGGCGTCAAATTGGTGGCAGTTGTGAAATAAGTCAATAGTTGGGCGAGTTGCAGAGGTAATTGAAAATAATGCCAATGATTTTTTCATGAATTAGGCTATGTTCTCTTGAACCATATGGTCTATCTACTAGAAACTCATGGACAATATGGACACATATAAACAATGAATACTAATATATGAATACATTTTTTAAAAAGTTATTCAAGTATACATTACCAAAGTTATGATAGATTGACATTGAATTCCTGTTAATTACAAAAATTACTGAAAATTCCTGTAGCTTTGGTAAATTACCGGTAGCTTTGCAACCCGAGTCAGGGTTGAGCGAGGGGGACACAAGGAAAGGCTTAACACACGAGAGGTATCTAGGCTCTGTACCATACAGAACAGAAAGCTGCACAGTACGCACAAAACCTATTCAGCCTATTCACAAGTTTAAGTCCAACACAACCTGTGTTATCACGCAGCTGTCAACAGTTATGTGTTTGATGCCATTATTGCTGTTGGGAGCCCCGTGGTGCACCACTCTCACCTTACAGCTGCTCAGACAACACTTCCACAGTCTCACATTCTTTCCCTCACAATCAGTTGGCTGCCTGAGTACCAGCTGCTGCCTCACCGTAATAGAACTGTATGTCAATAACCGGTTGGCTGGTGTTGCCAGTCCGACAAGGGTTATCCAGCCCCTGATGTGCTGCGTTGTTGTTTTCCAGCCATGTTGGTTTTTAGCAGCTTCAGTAATGAGGATTGATGGAGAAGAGGATGGAGGATGGAGGTCCCAGCTGGCCAGGCAGAAGAGTGGGCCGTTGGGTCGGGAGCTGTAATTTAGAGAGCCATGTTGTGTCAGAGTGAAGATGTCCCTCCTCACCTAGGCTTAACTCTCTATCCTACGCACACACACACACACACACCTCCCCTGAAACATTCACCTCTCAAAAGAGTTGGGGTGTGTGTGTTCTTCTGTCTGTGTGTGTGTGTGGTGTGTGGTGTGTGGTGAATGTGTCCTTCCACACAAATTATGCATCATTTGAACACTCCGAGCGTTGGTAAAGGGATGCTGTAGCAGCACTTTCTGTTTCCAATGTATTTCCTCTCTTCTCCAGACAGTGAAGGTGAGTGGGAAATGTTGATTGTCTGCTATGGTTACAGTCATTTACATTAGGGGGCGGTCATAAATTATAGCCTTCAGAGTGAGTCTCTGAGAACAGACTGCATTCCCTTGTTCTCTCTCCTTTTATTCCCTGATTGTTTTTATCCTCCCTCAGTGGTTTAGATGTAGCTTATACAACAGACACTAACTAGACTTTGTGTTTTAATTAATGCCGATCTGATGTATTATCCAGCTCTGCGGTGTACTTTGGATAAAAGTCACCCTTGGCTTCACCACAACCTTGGAGGCAGCAGCCTGACCAGGAGCAGCTTGGCCTGGGTTTATGATCCTGAACTTCCCCTGGCCTTGTCTATACTGGCACTTTGGTTTGATGGCTGAATGGACCAGCTGTGTCAGAGTGGATACGCTACATGAAAATGCACCTTTAATGAACTGCTACATCATGGGAGCATACTCGGCATAGGCCAGCGAATTGCAGTGTGATTTTAAAGGGCAGAGTCGTTTAAATTGTCTCTCACCACCTGATTGGTTTAATTCTTTGGGTTTCTGCACAATCCAGATCTGCCCTTTAAAATTCTAACGCACAGACAAGTTTGTTTAAAGTTTGTTTAGAGTGTCTAGATTCTGGAGCTTGCGGGAAGGACATGGGGTTGGGAAGGAGTGACCGGTTTTGGGATAAGATTAGATAGAGAGAGAGGCTGACTATCTCTCTCTTGCTCCCTCTCGCTCTCTCTCTCCCCCTCTCTCTGACATCAATACCTGTGTTAAATTCTCTGAAGTGAAGCTCTAATCTCAGTCTCCCTTCATTCTCTCCCTCTTTCCCTCCTCTCCAAAGGATGACACTGCCAATTTCCTACCTTTTTACTGGGCTCAGAGACCACCTGCTTTGCTCCATTCTGTAGGAGGGATTTGGATAAAAGCAGTAACTTCTTTGTAGCATTTCTTCCTGTCTGATATTTCAATAAATGGTGACCTTTAAGAGTTCTCAATTTGTGCCTGGAAATAACTTATCTCATGTTCCCTATTGTTACTTTCCAAGCCCCCCCCCTCCCCCCAAACCACCCGCAGGAATCTGTACAGTCTTTCAAATGTGTGTGGACTGGTTTGTAATCAATCAAGCATTTCCAGCTTGAGACAAATAGAAACAAGTGGAATATTTTGGCCCAGGGATGTGACAGCATTGGGCCTACAACAAGTGCCATTTCATGCATGCTAAGCACCATTGACTCTACATCCCTCCCTATGCACTATAAATATCTGATGTGCACAAATCGTCAGGGAGGCATGGAGAGGGTGTGTGTTTGCGTGTGTGTCCAAGCTCTTCTTAGTGTTTCTGTGTCTGTGAAACCATGTGTGTAGATCTGCTCTTGCCAACTGTACCGGGCCTATAGTTTTTGTCTTAATTTGGAAGGAAGATGATGGTCCTCGCCAAAAGTAATTAAAACTGTACTTACCAGACAGATGAACCCCTTTATATTAATATCTTGGGCCATTACCAGTAGGTTTTGAAAGCTGCATAAGCCCCTCATATACCCCTCTCATTAATAAACCTTCCCAGCACTGAGTCCCTCTGCCACAAGTCTGTCAGTGGGGTGCACAAACAGACACCACACATACAAATTTGTTTTATTTTTTTATTTTGAAGATGCCTTATAGAGTGAAGTGTAATTAGGAACACCATTCCAGCTGTCTGGAACTCTCAGCTTTTAGGTTCAACTGCTCAAAGTGTGTACTGTCAGAAAATATTTTAATCAGTTTCCCCCCTCATCTTCAAATCAAATTGACTGCACAAAAGTGCATGTGAAATTGAATAATGATAGGTTGTTCTCAGATGGCTATCTGAAGATTTTACCCCTGGTTATGGGGGAGTCAGTGTTATAGTGTCCTAATGTATGTTGTACCGAGCAGCCTTGAAGTTTCCTAAGTAAACTCAATTTATTCCAGCAGTCTGAGTACTGTGATCTCTCCTTGACCCTCGAGCTGCTCCCAGCACAATATCAATTCGATAACAGTGATTGTATTGTGTTGTCGGATACGAGCGAATGAGAAGCCCTTTAAAAAAATTAATGAGATGCGTTTCTATATTAGATCATTACTCCGTATTCCTTTAGAAGCTCAAACAGGAAGTACCCGTGACTTGCTCCGTTGAGAAATGATCATCAGAATCAGAGATTATGCTTTGCTAGCGCTGATAGGAATATGTTCAGAGACTCCGCCGATAACATCGACAAGCTAACCACCTCTGTCACCTTCGCATGAACTGCCGACATTATTACACATATTAATTGATAATGATGGAAATTAAGATATGCAAGATATTTGAATAGATATATATATTTTAATAGCTATATATATATTGATGTGAGAGCATTGGAAATGCTTTTGGCGGTTGACCTGCTTCTGTTTTGTGGATGGCACTGTTTTTGTTATTGGTAAATTTACAAACATATATTGTGATAAATAGATTTGAAACTTGTATCTAATTATGGTAAGTGGTGAAATAAGTATAGCCAGTTATAATTGTAATGGCTTAGCAGATAATAACAAAAGAAGAACAATATTTACATGGCTCAAAGAGAAGGAATATAATATCTATTGTTTACAGGAAACTCATTCAACAATTCTAGATGAAGTTGTGTGGAAAAAGGACTGGTGGGGGGGGGGGGGGGGGGGGGGGGGTGAAATATACTTCTCCCATGGGCAAAGAAACTCAAAAGGGGTGATGATATTAATTAACAGTAATTTTGCTCAGAATGTGCAAATTGTCCAAACAGATCCGCAAGGTAGATGGATGATTTAAAATATGTTATTGGACCATAAACAGATATGGCTCATTAACCTTTACGGACCAAATAATGATGATCCATACTTCTTTGACAATATATATAATAAATTATCAACCCTGCAAGCAATACAAGACTCTATTATTATGGTGGGAGATTATAATACTGTTTTAAATAGCTCAATGGACCGTAAAATAAATCACACTACAAACTATCACCCTCATGCTCTTACGGAAATGTCACGATCGTTATAAGTAACGGACCAAGGCGCAGCGTGAAATGCGTACATCTTTTAATGAGTACTTTAAACACGAATAACAAAACAACAAAACGATACGTGAAGTCCTAAGGTTAACAAACACAAACCTCTCCGGAACAAGATCCCACAATTAACTAGTGCCAACAGGCTGCCTAAGTATGGTTCCCAATCAGAGACAACGAGAATCAGCTGCCTCTGATTGGGAACCACCCTGGCCAACATAGAAAACACGAACTAGAACAAAAACATAGAAACTACAACATAGACACTACACACCCTGGCTCAACTTTTAAGAGTCCCCAGAGCCAGGGCGTGACAGGAAATCATGAATGTCATGGATACATTAGAACTAGTGGATATATGGAGGCTTAAATATCCTGATCTATTGAGATTTACATGGCGGAGACTCAATCAAGCTAGTCGTCTTGACTTCTTTCTTATGTCATTCTCGTTGGCACCAAAAGTTTAAAAAGTGTTGATAGGGGACAGAATGCGGTCGGACCATCATATAATTGGCATATACATTACTCTTACTGAATTTCCACGTGGGCGAGGATATTGGAAATTTAATCAAAGCCTATTGGATGATAACTTGTTTTTAACTAGGACAAAGGAATTTATAACTTATTTTTTCTGACATAACATAGGTACAGCAAATCCCCTTATTGTATGGAACACTTTTAAATGTGCCTTTTAGAGGCCATGCAATTCAGTACTCATCTCGATAACAAAAGCAATTTAGGTCAAAAGAGTCCATACTAACAAAGGAAATAGAAGGTCTAACAGAACAGATAGATAGCAATAAAAACTGTAACATAGAGGCTCAGAATAAATTAGAGGAAAAACAAAAAGAAATGGAGAAAATTATTCAAGAAAGATCAAGTGTAATATATTATAAAAATAAAGCAAACTGGATGGAATATGGGGAAAAATGCACCAAATTATTTTTTAATCTTCAACATAGAAATGCTACCAAATATAATTTACTGAAAATGGTTACAAATGAGGGAGTCACCCATGATTCACCAAATTATATTTTGTTTTCTATTGATAATGTAAAATTAAAAGCCATACAGAAAGACTCATGTGAAGGTGAAATTACAGAGGAGGAACTTCTGGATGCAATTAAAGACTTTAAGTCTGGGAAAACTCCAGGGTTGGATGGCATACCAGTCGAGGTATACCAAACCTTTTTTGATATACTCAGAGGACCATTATTAGCATGTTTTAACCACTCCTATGTAAATGGTAGATTATCAGACACTCAAGAAGAAGTTCTGATTTCATTATTACTGAAATAGGATACAAGTGGAAAATATAAAGATCCAGTCCATTTAAAAAATGTAAGGACCCTTACACTTCAGTGTTGTGGTGCATTAATTCTAGCAAAATGTATAGAATTAAAAAGGTGTTGTCAGACATTATTCATTCTAATCAGACAGGTTTATTACATGGAAGATACATTGGAGATAATATAAGGCAAGTACTGGAAACAATAAAACACTATGAAAAATCTGGGAAACCAGGCCTGCTATTCATAGCAGACTTTGAAAAGGCATTCAATAAAGTACGACTGGAGTTTATATATAAATGCCTGGAGCATTTCAATTTTGGAGAATCTCTTATAAAATGGGTTAAAATCATGTATAGTAACCCTAGGTGTAAAATAGTAAATAATGGCTATTTCTCCAAAAGTTTTAAACTGTCAAGAGGAGTAAAACAAGGTTGTCACTATCGGCATATCTATTTATTATGGCCATCGAGATGTTAGCTATTAAAATCAGATCCAACAATAATATCAAGGGATTAGAAATCCAGGGCTTAAAAACAAAGGTGTCATTGCACGCTGATGATTCATGTTTTCTTTTAAATCCACAACTTGAATCCCTCCACAGCCTCATAGAGGATCTAGGTACATTTTCTAACCTCTCTGGATTACAACCAAATTATGATAAATGTACTATTATGTATTGGATCACTAAAAAATACAATTTTTACATTACCATGTAGTTTACCAATAAAATGGTCTAATGGTGATGTGGATATACTCGGAATACATATCCCAAATGAAATAAATGATCTCACTCCAATACATTTGAATAGAAAGTTAGCAAATAGCCCTGTGTAAGGGCTATTTCACCAAGAAGGAGAGTGATGGAGTGCTGCATCAGATGACCTGGCCTTCACAATCCTCCGACCTCAACCAAATTGAGATGGTTTGGGATGAGTAGGACCGCAGGGTGAAGAAAAAGCAGCCAACAAGTGCTCAGCATATGTGGGAACTCCTTCAAGACTGTTGGAAAAGCATTCCAGGTGAAGCTGGTTGAGAGAATGCCAAGAGTGTGCAAAGCTGTCATTTTACATTTACATTTACGTCATTTAGCAGACGCTCTTATCCAGAGCGACTTACAAGTCATGGCAAAGGGTGGCTATTTGAAGTATTTTGATTTGTTCAACAATTTTTTGGTTACTACATGATTCCATATGTGTTATTTCATAGTTTTGATGTCTTCACTATTATTCTACAATGTAGAAAATACAAAAAAATAAATATAAACCCTTGAATGAGTAGGTGTCCTAAAACTTTAGACCGGTAGTGTAGACCTATCACTAAAAGCTTCAGTCATACAAAAGTTATGCTTAAATCCGAACTGGTTCTCTAGCAAATTAGTAAGATTGTCTCACCCCATGTTCAAGAATGGCCTTTTTCCCTTTATTCAGATTACAACCTCTCACTTTCAGGTATTTGAAAAGGAAAACATCTCCCAAATATCACTATTTCTAAAACAAGCCATAGAAAGTTGGTTGCAATTTCAATTTAAACCTCAAGAAACTACAGAACAAATAATGCAACAAATATTGTGGTTAAACTCAAATATATATATATATTTTTTTAAAGTGTTTAATAAAGATATAATCTTCGGAAATTATATCATAGGTAGGACTGGTCGAGTTATGTCGCACATGCAGCTAACAAAAACATATGGAAATGTCTGCTCTACCAAAAATTACAACCAAATAATTGCAGGAAAGTGGAAGGGGAAAAAAGTAAGCAACATGTCTGTTTGCCCTGCATTAAAGAACGTAATTGGTTAAAGAAAATTGTGATAAATAAAAAAGTATACCAGTTTCATTTAAGGACCAAAGGATTGACAGCCGTCCAATATAGATTGCAAAATAGTTGGGAATAAATTTTTGATGTACCAATTCCATGGCATAGTGTTTATGAACTGATACGCAAAACGACGCCGGATTCAAAACTTTGAATTTTTCAATTGAAATTATTATACAAAATTCTTGCTACCAATAGAATGTTATTTATATGGGGGATACAATCTTCCCAGCTCTGGAGATTTTGCTGCGAAGAGACAATCATTAGATCATTTGTTTTGGTACTGTCCATTTGCAGCTTGATTTTGGTCACAGGTCCAGGAATGGCTGAAGGATTGCAATATTTACCTGTAGCTAACCCTGCAGATAGCACTACTGGGTGATCTGAAAAGTCATAGTCAATCGATCAATAATATAATAATACTTTTAGCAAAAATGTTTATTTTCAATTTACAATCTGTAGAAACAATGAGAATAGAAGGGTTCAGAACTTTTGTGAAACAGTACAGTTGAAAAATATATGGCAAATAGAAATCCAATATGGATGGTGTTAAGAGATAGATGGGAGGGGTTAAATGGAGCTGAAGGATGGGACTAATAACAACTAACAACAAGATAACTAATGTAAAGCAGACTGTGTCCATAATAAGTATGTAGGTAATAGGTTGAGAGCTTTTGTGAAAGTGCACAGTTAGAAAGATATGGCATATAGAAGCAAACCGGATGGACATCTTGAAAATGATCGGAGAGGTTGAGGGTAGAGGAAGTTCAGAAGTAAAAACAAACAAAATAGAATTATTGTTAAATTGACTGTGTCCATAAAATGTATATAGTACAGTTGAAGTCGGAAGTTTACATACAACTTAGCCAAATACATTTAAACTCAGTTTTTCACAATTCCTGACATTTAATCCTAGTAATAAATGCCCTGTCTTAGGTCAGTTAGGATCTTTATTTTAAGAATGTGAAATGTCAGAATAATAGTAGAATGATTTATTTCGGCTGTTATTTATTTCATCACATTCCCAGTGGGTCAGAAGTTTACATACACTCAATTAGTATTTGGTAGCATTGCCTTTAAATTGTTTAACTTGGGTCAAACATTTCGGGTAGCCTTCCACAAGCTTCCCACAATAAGTTGGGTGAATTTTGGCCCATTCCTCCTGACAGAGCTGGTGTAACTGTCAGGTTTTTAGGCCTCCTTGCTCGCACGTGCTTTTTCAGTTCTGCCCACACATTTTCTATAGGATTGAGGTCAGGGCTTTGTGATGGCCACTCCAATAGCTTGACTTTGTTGTCCTTAAGCCATTTTGCCACAACTTTGGAAGTATGCTTGGGGTCATTGTCCATTTGGAAGACCCATTTGCGACCAAGCTTTAACTTCCTGACTGATGTCTTGAGATGTTGCTTCAATATATCCACATACTTTTCCTTCCTCATGATGCCATCTATTTTGTGTACTTGCGTACTATTGTTTGTACAGATGAACGTGGTACCTTCAGGCATTTGGAAATTGCTCCCAAGGATGAACCAGACTTGTGGAGGTCTACAATTAGTTTTCTGAGGTCTTGGCTGATTTCTTTTGATTTTCCTATGTTGTCAAGCAAAGAGGCACTGAGTTTGAAGGTAGGCCTTGAAATACATCCACAGGTACTCCTCCAATTGACTAAAATGATGTCAATTAGCCTATCAGAAGCTTCTAAAGCATTACATCATTTTTTTGAATTTTCCAAGCTGTTTAAAGGCACAGTCAACATAGTGTATGTAAACTTCTGACCCACTGGAATTGTGATACTGTGAATTATAAGTGAAATAATCTATCTGTAAACAATTGTTGGAAAAATTACTTGTTTCATGCACAAAGTAGATGTTCCAAACGACTTGCCAAAACTATAGTTTGTTAACAAGAAATTTGTGGAGTGATTGAAAAACAAGTTTGAATGACTCCAACCTAAGTGTACGTTAACTTCCGACTTCGACTGTATAAGCTGGACGTAGAGGCCTAAGCGTTGTTGTTCACTAGTTTACTCCAATTAGGGAAGGGGTGGTGGGGTTGGAAAGTAATAAAGGGAAATATATTTTTAAAAAGGATATGTGTATATATGCTACCGTTCAAAAGTTTGGGGTCACTTAGACATTTCCTTGATTTCCATGAAAATAACATAAAATTGATCAGAAATACAGTGTAGACATTGTTAATGTTGCAAATGGCTATTGTAGCTGGAAACAGCTGCTTTTTAATGGAATATCTACATAGGCGTACAGAGGCCCATTATCAGCAACCATCAGTCCTGAGTTCCAATGGCACGTTGTGTTTGCTAATCCAAGTTTATCATTTTAAAAGGCTAATTGATCATTAGAAAACCCTTTTGCAATTATGTTAGCACAGCTGCAAACTGTTGTGCTGATTTAAAGAAGCAATAAAACTGGCCTTCTTGAGACTAGTTGAGTATCTGGAGCATCAGCAATTGTGGGTTCGATTACAGGCTCAAAATGGCCAGAAACAAAGAACTTTCTTCTGAAACTCGTCAGTCTATTCTTGTTCTGAGAAATGAAGGCTATTCCATGCGAGAAATTGCCAAGAAACTGAAGATCTCGTACAACGCTGTGTACTACTCCCTTCACAGAACAGCGCAAACTGGCTCAAACCAGAATAGAAAGAGGAGGCCCCGGTGCACAACTGAGCAAGAGGACAAATACATTAGTGTCTAGTTTGAGAAACAGACGCCTCACAGGTCCTCAACTGGCAGCTTCATTAAATAGTACCCGCAAAACACCAGTCTCAACGTCAACAGTGAAGAGGCGACTCCGGGATGCTGACCTTCTAGGCAGAGTTGCAAAAAAAAGCCATATCTCAGACTGGCCAATAAAAATAAAAGATTAAGATGGGCAAAATAACACAGACACTGGACAGAGGAAGATTGGAAAAAAGTGTTATGGACAGAATAATCGAAGTTTGAGGTGTTCGGATCACAAAGAAGAACATTTGTGAGACACAGACCAAATGAAAAGATGCTGCCAAATGAAAAGATGCTGCCATCTGTCAAACATGGTGGAGGCAATGTGATGGTCTAGGGGTGCTTTGGTGGTGGTAAAGTGGGAGATTTTTACAGGGTAAAAGGGATCTTGAAGAGGGAAGGCTATCACTCCATTTTGCAACGCCATGCCATACCCTGTGGACGGCGCTTGATTGGAACCAATTTCCTCCTACAACAGGACAATGACCCAAAGCACAGCTCCAAACTATGCAAGAACTATTTAGGGAAGAAGCAGTCAGCTGGTATTCTGTCTATAATGGAGTGGCCAGCAAAATCACCGGATATCAACCTTATTGAGCTGTTGTGGGAGCAGCTTGACCGTATGGTACGTAAGAAGTGCCCATCAAGCCAATCCAACTTCTGGGAGGTGCTTCAGGAAGCATGGGGTGGAATCTCTTCAGATTACCTCAACAAATTGACAACTAGAATGCCAAAGGTCTGCAAGGCTGTAATTTCTGCAAATGGAGGATTCTTTGACGAAAGCAAAGTTGGAAGGACACAATTATTATTTCAATAGAAAATCATTATTTCTAACCTTGTCATAACTACATTTCGTATTAATTTTGCTATATTTCCTATTCAAACTAATTTCATGTATGTTTTCATGGAAAACAAGGACATTTCTAAGTGGCCCCAAACTTTTAAACGGTAGTGTATATGTATTTATATGTATGTACAGTGGGGAGTACAAGTATTTGATACACTGCCGATTTTGCAGGTTTTCCTACTTACAAAGCATGTAGAGGTCTGTAATTTTTGTCATAGGTACACTTCAACTGTGAGAGACAGAATTGTATGATTTTCAAGTAATTCATTTGCATTTTATTGCATGACATAAGTATTTGATATATCAGAACTTAATATTTGGTACAGAAACCTTTGTTTGCAATTACAGAGATCATACGTTTCCTGTAGGTCTTGACCAGGTTTGCACACACTGCAGCAGGGATTTTGGCCCACTCCTCCATACAGACCTTCTCCAGATCCTTCAGGTTTCGGGGCTGTCGCTGGGCAATACGGACTTTCAGCTCCCTCCAAAGATTTTCTATTGGGTTCAGGTCTGGAGACTGGCTAGGCCACTCGAGGACCTTGAGATGCTTCTTACGGAGCCACTCCTTAGTTGCCCTGACTGTGTGTTTCGGGTCGTTGTCATGCTGGAAGACCCAGCCACGACCCATCTTCAATGCTCTTACTGAGGGAAGGAGGTTGTTGGCCAAGATCTCGCGATACATGGCCCCATCCATCCTCCCCTCAATACGGTGCAGTCGTCCTGTCCCCTTTGCAGAAAAGCATCCCCAAAGAATGATGTTTCCACCTCCATGCTTCACGGTTGGGATGGTGTTCTTGGGGTTGTACTCATCCTTCTTCTTCCTCCAAACACGGCGAGTGAAGTATAGACCAAAAAGCTCTATTTTTGTCTCATCAGACCACATGACCTTCTCCCATTCCTCCTCTGGATCATCCAGATGGTCATTGGCAAACTTCAGACGGGCCTGGACATGCGCTGGCTTGAGCAGGGGGACCTTGCGTGCGCTGCAGGATTTTAATCCATGACGGCGTAGTGTGTTACTAATGGTTTTCTTTGAGACTGTGGTCCCAGCTCTCTTCAGGTCATTGACCAGGTCCTGCCGTGTAGTTCTGGGCTGATCCCTCACCTTCCTCATGATCATTGATGCCCCACGAGGTTAGATCTTGCATGGAGCCCCAGACCGAGGGTGATTGATCGTCATCTTGAACTTCTTCCATTTTCTAATAATTACGCCAACAGTTGTTGCCTTCTCACCAAGCTGTTGCCTATTGTCCTGTAGCCCATCCCAGCCTTGTGCAGGTCTACAATTTTATCCCAGATGTCCTTACACAGCTCTCTGGTCTTGGCCATTGTGGAGAGGTTGGAGTCTGTTTGATTGAGTGTGTGGACAGGTGTCTGTTATACAGGTAACGAGTTCAAACAGGTGTAGTTAATACAGGTAATGAGTGGACAACAGGAGGGCTTCTTAAAGAAAAACTAACAGGTCTGTGAGACCCGGAATTCTTACTGGTTGGTAGGTGATCAAATACTTATGTCATGCAATAAAATACAAATTAATTACTTAAAAATCATACAATGTGATTTTCTCCCCACTGTATATTTGCGAGAGAAAAAAACATATGGAGGATTGGAAGTGATGCAGACATTTACATTGATGGAAGTTCCAATCTATCTGCAGTATTAAAGCTGATCTACCTCCAAAAAAAGATAAAACAAAATTATTATTATTTAATTTTTTTACTCCGTCACCGGAATCATAAGGAAATGCATCGGCGACGTTGTCCCCACAGTGAAGGTTTGCTGCTTCCCCAATCAAAAGCCCTGGATTAAAACAGGTTGGCACTAAAATAAAGGACAGGGTTAACACACACAGGGACATCGCAGACAACCCGGAGGCTACGGCTGAGGACAGGAATAAGTACAAGAAGTCCCGCCACGACCTCCGCACAGTCATCAAACGAGCAAAAGGACAATATTGCAATCTTATTTCATAGGCTCCACCGCACGGCGCATGTGGCAGGGGCTACAGTCCATTACGGATTACAGAGGAAGACCCAGTCGTGATCTGCCCAACGATGCCTCTCTACCAGACGAATTCAACACATTTGTTGCACGCTTCGACAATAACAACACCATACCGTGCGTGAGGTCCCCTACCGATCCAGGGGATCTCGCTCTCTGAGGCCGACTTGAGTAAGGTCTTTAATCAGGTCAAGGGTGGGGGTGGAACGGCGGGGGTAGAAGGATTACTTTATACTATTCCAGGTATTTCTTAAAGAGGTAGGGTTTCAAGTGTCTCCGGAAGGTGGTCAGTGACTCCGCTGTCCTGGCATCGTGGGAGAGCTTATTCCACCATTGGGGTGCCAGAGCAGCGAATAGCTTTGACTGGGCTGAGCGGGAACTGTGCTTCCATAGAGGTAGGGGAGCTAGCAGGCCAGAGGTGGATTAATGTAGTGCCCTCGTTTGGGTGTAGGGTCTGATCAGAGCCTGAAGGTAAAGAGGTGCTGTTCCCCTCACAGCTCCGTAGGCAAGCACCATGGTCTTGTAGTAGATGCGAGCCTCAACTGGAAGCCAGTGGAGTGTGCGGAGGAGCGGGGTGACATGAGAGAACTTGGGAAGGTTGAACACCAGACGGGCTGCAGCGTTCTGGATAAGTTGTAGGGGTTTAATGGCACAGGCAGGGAGCCCAGTCAACAGCGAGTTGCAGTAATCCAGACGGGAGATGACAAGTGCCTGGATTAGGACCTGTGCCGCTTTCTGTGTAAGGCAGGGTCGTACTCTGCGAATGTTGTAGAGCATGAACCTGCAGTATCTGGTCACCGCTTTGATGTTAGCGGAGAACGACAGGGTGTCCCCCAGGGTCACGCCAAGGTTCTTTGCACTCTGGGAGGAGGACACAATGGAGTTGACAACCGTGATGGCGAGATCATGGAGCGGGCAGTCCTTCCCCGGGAGGAAGAGCAGCTCCGTCTTGCCGAGGTTCAGCTTGAGGTGGTGATCCGACATCCACACTGATATGTCTGCCAGACATGCAGAGATGCGATTCGCCACCTGGTTATCAGAAGGGGGAAAGGAGAAGATTAATTGTGTGTCGTCTGCGTAGCAATGATCGGAGATAGCATTTGAGGATATGACAGAGCCAAGTGACTTGGTGTACAGAGAGAATAATAGAGGGCCTAGATCTGAGCCCTGGGGGACACCAGTGGTGAGAGCACGTGGTGCGGAGACAGAGATGCCCAACTCGGAGAGGGTGGAGAGGAGGATCTGATGGTTCACAGTATCAAAGGCAGCGGATAGGTCTAGAAGGATAAGAGCAGAGGAGAGAGAGTTAGCTTTAGCAGTGCGGAGAGCCTCCGTGACACAGAGAAGAGCAGTCTCAGTTGAATGACCAGTCTTGAAATCTGACTGGTTTGGATCAAGAAGGTCATTCTGAGAGAGATAGCAGGAGAGTTGGCTAGAGACGGCACGCTCAAATGTTTTGGAGAGAAAAGAAAGAAGGGATACTGGTCTGTAGTTGCTGACATCGGAGGGATTGAGTGTAGGTTTTTTGAGGAGGGGTGCAACTCTCGCTCTCTTGAAGACGGAAGGGACATAGCCAGCAGTCAAGGAAGAGTTGATTAGCGAGGTGAGGTAAGGGAGAAGGTCTCCGGAAATGGTCTGGAGAAGAGAGGAGGGGATAGGGTCAAGCGGGCAGGTTGTTGGGCGGCCGGCCGTGACAAGTCGCAAGATTTCATCTGGAGAGAGAGGGGAGAAAGAAGTCAAAGCATAGGGTAGTGCAGTGTGAGCAGGACCAGCGGTGTCATTCGACTTAATAAATGAGGATCGGATGTCGTCAACCTTCTTTTCTAATTGGTTGACAAAGTCATCCACAGAGAGGGAGGAGGGAGGGGGAGGAGGAGGACTCAGCAGAGAGGAGAAGGTGGCAAAGAGCTTCCTAGGGTTAGAGGCAGAGGCTTGAAATTCAGAGTCGTAGAAAGTGGCTTTGGCAGCGGAACCAGAGGAAGAGAATGTAGAGAGGATACCATTGTCCCCTCCAAGCTCGTCACCAAACTCAGGACCCTGGAACTGAACACCTCCCTCTGCAACTGGATCCTTGACTTCCTGATGGCCGACCCCACGTAGTTAGGATAGGCAATACCACCTCTGCCACGCTGACCCTCAACACAGGGGCCCACACACGGGTGTGTGCTTAGTCCCCTCCTGTACTCCCTGTTCACCCACGACTGCGCGTTTACGCACGACTCCAACACCATCATCAAGTTTGCTGACGAGACGACGGTGGTAGGCCTGATCATCGGCGTCAATGAGACAGCCTACAGGGAGGAGGTCAGTGACCTGGCAGTGTGGTGCCGGGACAACAACCTCTCCCTCAACGTCAGTAAGGCCAAGGAGCTAATCGTGGACTACAGAAAAGCGAGCACGCCCCTATCCACATTAATAGGGCTGCAGTGGAGCGGGCCGAGAGCTTCAAGTTCCTCGGGGTCCAAATCACTAAGGACTTAAATGTCCACACACATGTACACAGTTGTGAAGAAGGCAAGACAGCACCACTTTCCCCTCAGGAGGTTGAAAAAGTTTGGCATGGGCCCTCAAATATTCAAAAAGTTCTACAGCTGCACCATTGAGAGCATCTTGACTGGCTGCATCACTGCTTGGTATGGCAACAGCACCGCCCTCGATCGCATGGTGTTGCGGCCAGCCCAGTACATCACTGGGGCCAAGCTCCCTGCCATCCATGACCTCAATATCAAACTGACACTCCAACACACACATAACATTCACACACATTCATACTGACTACACACACACCCTCACATACAATCTTCATTTATCTGCTGCTACTCTGTTTATCATGCATCCTAATGCCTAATCACCTTACCCCTGTACATATCTACCTCTATCACTCCACTATCCCTGTACATTGTAAATATGGTATTGGAACTGACCCTGCATATAGCTTTCTTACTTACTCATGTTCTTCTTGTTTTTATTTTTTGTGCGTTTTTGTTCTACCTTATGTTATTTTTTGCGCTACATTGATATTGATTACTGCATTGTTGGGAAAGAGCTTGCAAGAAAGGCATTTCACTGTACTTGTGCACGTGACATTGAAACTTGAAACCCGATTGACCCAGAGAGAGAACGAGTCGAAGAAGCAAGCAAGAATCTGTCCTATGACTCTCTAATCTGCACGCTGTCAGTTGTACTGGTAATGCCTGTTGCAACTGACACCTCTTCCTTGTACATAAATGACTACTCTAACTTCAAGAGCATCCTACTAGTGGCAGGTGGTACTGTGAGAGAAACGAGACTGAGTTAGCATTCACAACGTCTCTTATCTTCGTCGAGGCTCCGCTCTGTTGGTGAGACTTCATAGCAGTAGAGTGCGTGTTCATCAAGGCATCCAGGGAAAATGTATTTCCTTGAAGTCTCTGAGATCAGCAGAGGAGTTGCAGGCGCACAGTAGCGGTAATTATTGCCCAGGGAAGAGGCTCAGACTGCTGCTCGGCTTGTAATCAAACATCACAATGATGCCAATGAGCAATATCAGAGGAGAGGAGCAGCCATCCAGTCCTTCCTCTGTTAATACGCCAGCCTGTGTGATCCTCACAGTCCAGTCTCTCTCTTCTATTCTGTTTGTTTTGTCTGCACAAAGTAGTCACGTAATGAACACACCACAGCCTCTAATGGGAATAATATTTCCAATACCTATTCATCAGAGGTAGTGGTGTGTGCAGGTTATAGTGAGAATAAATTAGAGAGAGGACAGACTAACTCCCATGCCTGATAAACTCAGGGATAGCGGAGGAAGGGCCAAATAGATTTTTACATTGTTGTTGTGTGCGTTGAGCTATTTAAAAAGGATTAGCTCAAAGTTGGAAGGGAATTTCTCTATTGAGGTCCATTTGTCAAAACAAATTGACATTTTCACAATCTACACACATAACACAACGCATTTGATGCCCCTCCAGCCCTCCACTCACTTTCTTTTTCGGTTGGCATAACATAGGTAGGCATGATCTATTAGCCAGACTTACTACCTCAGTCCCCCAGGCTCATGGCACTGCTTCTGAGAGTTAAGACTGTCTGGAGCAGTCGGGTTCCAGACTGAGCATGTCCCCTTCAGTCCTTGGTGCTGTAGTCAGCTCTCTATAATGTATTATCACTATATTCTGCAAAGCCTGCACTGGAAGAGGTCAAAGTGCATGAGAGATTCCCCTAGAGTTCCCAGTCGTCGGAGTCTGATGAAGACTGTTTATCACAAGTTCTCTTGCAGTTTCTGGCCTTAGTGGGTTGACAGATGAACGCTTATACAGCAGGGATAGGTTGGGGTGAATGTTGCATTTTGTCTCATATCAGGCAGTTAGAGAATTTAATCCACTCAATTGCCTTTCATCAGAAATTGAATAATCCGTTTCAAGTGTCCTTTGTCATTGAGGCAAGGGCCCTTCTTTAGTCTCCGTGGGGGGGTTGTCAGAAGTGGTTTAGTATGAGTGTCAGGATCAGAGAGATGCAGTCAGCCAGGGATGAGGGATCTATGTGTGTCTGTGTTAGTTCTGGGAATCAGCTCTGTCGACATTAGTGAAGGACACTATCACTGCAAACACACTAAATCTTCCAAACATAGTCTGCAATAAAGAACAACCTTATGACTGTCTTATGAATGCTATTACACTGTTGAATAACCCCTTTACATCTTGGATCCTCATATGATGGCCTGATTTGAAAGAAACGTATCTATTATTTACCATTGCCTTGCACCATGTTGCCTCTTACCACTCATTGACTCCCCACCCAGGCCCAGCAGTAGAAGCGGAGCAGTATGTGTTCCATAGTGGTCTTTTGTTATACCTGTTGCGTAACGTAATTGAATCCTGGTTCTGACGGATGGATGGGGCTGATGTGAACGGTAGCTACTCCTCCTTTAGTATTCCATACACAGAAAGAGCCATTGATCAGCTATAGCCTCATCTGCACCAGCAGCAGTAGTGCTGTCTGTGCTCCAAACACCAGGTCTAAATGGTGTGGGCAGCTCTGCTCTGGCTTCATTCCCCTCATCATTGTATTATTCAGCTCTCCATCATCAGGTGAGATGAATGAACTGATCAGATAAGGTCTGAGTGTAGAAGTCCCCAGAGCTGTCATTCCACTATGAGTTATTAGAGGAATAAAGGAAACACAATAAGCCATTGTCTCAGATGGAACAAACCTTTTTATTGTATTTCCTTTTCTCATCTCTCTTTTGAAGCTCTCTCCCATCTCTTTTTCTCTTGGTCTTTCTCTCTCTCTGTATCGCTCTTTCTGTATCTATCTCTCTCTTTCTCTGTATCTCTCTCCCTCTCTCTCTCTGTATCTCTCTCTCTCTCGCTCTCTGCATCTCTCTCTCTGTATCTCTCTCTGTGTACTGAATGATAATTTTGGGAAAGAAAGATTCTCTTAGGTCTGAGTATTTGTCACAGTGTAATAGGAAATGCAGCTCTGTCTCTACCTCTCCCCGGGGGCAGAGTGAGCACAGCCTGTCCTCTCTGGGCAGCCAGGTTTGCCTGTGACGACCGGTCTCTATAGCCAGACTGTGCTCACTGAGTCTGTACCTAGTCATTGTTTTCCTCAGTTTTCTATCAGTCACAGTGGTCAGATAGACTGCCACCATGTACTGTCTGTTTAGAGCCAAATAGCATTGAAGTTTACTTTTATTTTTTGTGGTGTCTTTCCAATAGGTGATATATTTTTATTTTTGCTTTGTGATGATTTGGTTGGGCCAGATTTTCTGAGTGCTGTCCTGAGGCTCTTATGAGGTTGGTTTTGGTTAGTGAACTGAGCCTCAGAACCAGCTGGCTGAGGGGACTCTTCTCTTGTTTCATCTCTTGACATAGTAGAGCTGTGTGATGGAATGTTTTGGGGTCACTTGTTTTTAGATGGTTGTAAAATTGATGGCTCTTTTTTCTATTCGAATAAGGAGGGGGTATTGGCCCAATTCTGCTCTACATGCGTTATTTTGAGTTTTCCTTTGCACTTGCAATACAGTCTTGCAAAACTCTGCATGCAGTATTTCGATTGGATGTTTGTCCCATTTGGTAAATTCAGTATTAGAGAGCGGACCCCATACTTGCACAGGAAGCGGCACAGGTCCTAATCCAGGCACTTGTCATCTCCCGTCTGGATTACTGCAACTCGCTGTTGGCTGGGCTCCCTGCCTGTGCCATTAAACCCCTACAACTCATCCAGAATGCCGCAGCCCGTCTGGTGTTCAACCTTCCCAAGTTCTCTCACGTTCCCCCTCCTCCGCACACTCCACTGGCTTCCAGTTGAAGCTCGCATCCGTTACAAGACCATGGTGCTTGCCTATGGAGCAGTGAGGGGAACGACACCTCCGTACCTTCAGGCTCTGATCAGTCCCTACACCCAAACGAGGGCATTGCGTTCATCCACCTCTGGCCTGCTGGCTCCCCTTCCTCTGCGGAAGCATAGTTCCCGCTCAGCCCAGTCAAGACTGTTCGCTGCTCTGGCACCCCAATGGTGGAACAAGCTCCCTCACGACGCCAGGACAGCGGAGTCACTCACCACCTTCCGGAGACATTTGAAACCCCACCTCTTTAAGGAATACCTGGGATAGGATAAAGTAATCCTTCCACCCCCCCCCCCAAATTGGTGCATTCACTGGCTATAGGGTGAATGCACCAATTTGTAAGTCGCTCTGGATAAGAGCGTCTGCTAAATGACGTAAATGTAAATGTAATACTTCGCTGCCATATAGAGCAATTGGTTCTATAACTGATTGGAACATTTTGAGCCAGATTCTAATTGGAATTTCGATTTTAATATTCCTTTTAATGGCATAGAATGCTCTTCTTGCTTTGTCTCTCAGCTCATTCACAGCCATGTGAATGCTACCTGTGTTGCTGATATTTAGTCCTAGATATGTGTAATTTTTGGTGTGCTGTAATAGAACTGTGTCCAAATAGAATTTATATTTGTCATCCTGATTTCCTGACCTTTTTTGGAATATCATTATATTCCGGGTTTTTTTTGTTAACGGTCAGAGCCCAGGTCTGACAGAACCTGTGCAGATGATCTAGATGCTGCTGTAACCCTTCCTTAGTGGGAGACAGTAGCACCAGGTCATCTGCGTACAGCAGACACTTGATTTCAGTGTTGTGTAGGGTGAGACCAGGTGCTGCCGATTCTTCTAATGTTTTTGCCAATTCATTAATGTAGATGTTAAATAGTGTTGGACTTATTGGGCAGCCCTGTTTCACTCCACGTCCATGAGAGAAGAAGTCTGTTTGCTTGTTGCCAATTTTAACCGCACATTTGTTTTTAGCATCATATACCCTCCAATACCACTTTCTATTAGTTTGTAAAAAAGATCTTCGTGCCAGATTGAATCAAATGCTTTCTTGAAGTCTACAAAACACAAATAGATTTTGCCTTTGTTTTGGTTTACTTGTTTGTCAATTAGAGTGTGGAGGGTGTAAATGTGGTCTGTTGTACGATAATAAAAAATAAATAAAAATCTGCCTTCTGCTTAGGACGTTGTGTTCATCAAGGAAATGATGTAGTCTGCTGTTTATGATACTGCAGAGAATTTTCCCCAAGTTGCTGTTAACGCAAATTCCTCTGTAATTATTTGGGTCAAATTTGTCTCCATTTTTATAGATTGCTGTGATCAATCCTTGGTTCCAAATATCGGGGGAAATACCTGCAGTTAGGATAATGTTGAAGAGTTTGAGTATAGCCTATTTGAATTTGTGGTCTGTATATTTGATCATTTCATTTAAAATACCATCAGCTCGTTATTAATGCTCTGCCTGTCTTTTTGGAGCTCTCTCACCTCCTTTGTTAGATCAGCCAGCTCTCTCTTGAGTCCAGCTCTCTCTTGCTGAACCTCTTTCAGCTGTGTTGCAAGGCTGCTATCCTGCTCTGTCCGCACCTTGGTTAGGAGCTCCTCTAAGGTGTGGATGTCTAGTTGCTGTTTGCTCACACTCTCCCTAAGCAGGACCACCTCCCCCTCCAGTTTGGTGAACTGATCCCTCATGGCAGCCATGGTGGTGAGGAGGGCCTGAGCCTGCTCTGCACTGAGGGGGTCGCTCTCCTCCTGGGGCGTGTCCTCCACTATGGTGGGAAGAGAGGTGCTGGATGTGCCTTTTTGGGTGGGGATAGTGGGGGTGAGGGTGGTGCTGGTGGAGTTTGTCACTGGTGGTGTCCTTCTCTCTCTCTGCTCTCTCCTTAATGGTCTGAAAGTCTGTTTCAAACAGCCTAAGGTTACCTTGCACCATGACAGTCCCAGTCTTGTAGAGGTTGATTGTTATCATGGTGCTGTCAGGGTCGTCTGTCTCTTTGACTTTCAGCTTCCACCCATTACGGATGGGTAGTGAGAGCAGACTGTTGAGCGCCATGCATTTGGCTGGTCAGTGAGAAAGATGTGATTACTCACATCACCGTTTTTGTAGAGGTCTGTGAAAAGGGTTTCTGGCCTCCCCTTTAGTAGATTCTGTTTAAAAGCTTTCCTCGTTGTGTCATTTTTGGCCTCTGGGGGGTAGAGAATGGACTCAGCGCTGAGGGGGAGTGGGGACATGGTGCCTGTGGGCTCTGCGACTACTACTGCTGCTGCTCTGTTCCGGTGCACTGTTGCCATGGCAACCCGATTTGTTTGTCTGCTGCTGTTGCTAGCTAGCTCCTTTTTAGCTCAAAAACCAGCAAAAATAGTGAAATCTTCACACACAAAAACAGAAGATATGTTTAAAGTTAGAGTCTGTGCTTCTTTTTGATTTACTCACTCAGTTTGGTCGTTTGATGTAGTTGTATTAACTCCCCTTGCTAGGTTTGTTCTAGCTCAATTTTCTGGCTGGCTTGTTAGCCTGCTGGCTAGGTTTTTGTTGTGTAGCTAGCTAGCGAGAGTCAAAACATCTTAATTTGAGGCGCAAAGTTACTTTTTTTTCTATTCTGATTGAATAGAGTTGTTGTTCATCACTTCTTGTCTTGAATTATTTTTAGATTTGAGTGTTTATCTCATTCTAAAACAAAACAAAATGGAAATAAATCAGGAGCTCATGTTGAGCATGTCTCTCTCTCTCTCTCTGTATCTCTCTCTCTCTCTGTATCTCTCTCTCTCTGTATCTCTCTCTCTCTCTCTCTCTCACTCTCTGTATCTACCCTCGTTTTCCCCTTTTCTCTCTCTCTTCCCATAAACACATACATAATCCTAACAGAGTGGAAAATACCTGAGTCATGATCTTTACACAAACTGCACATGCTCAGGTTAATACAGTAGAGCCAAAAGAAAGGGCATACGCATGCATGCAATACACGCACGTGCACACGCACACACACACACACACACGCACACACACACACACACACGCACACACACAGTCAATCCCTGGGTACCTTCCTCCATACCATGGCTGAGCCTAGGGAGCAACAGTCCACTCAGCAGCCTTGTTTTAATGACTAATTTCACCCCTGTATAGATTATGCTGTGCAACACATACACACACTGATGCCTCTATCCATCTCCATCTCACTCCCTTTGCCCCTGCAGCAAAGTAGCTTGTCAGCTCCTGACTCTCCATCCCTCCATCTTTCCATTCCTCCATCTTTCCATCCCTCCATTTTTCCATCCCTCCATCCCACTGACTCTGCTCTCAAGGTGGGATTAACACAGAGCTCATGCGCAACACTCTGCAGCAGGGTCCCTGGAGCTTTACATACTATTCTAGTAAGTGTGTGCCAGCAGCACCTTCCAAGTCAATGCTACAATCCTCATACACTAGCAGACTTCTAGCTAATTGGTCATTTGAGTAATGGCTAGTAATTCCTCTTTAATTTGACCACGTCAGGCCAATGGAAGGACCCATCGAGTGACCCTGATGAATGACACTCGGTGGAGGGAGGCTAGCCTTCCTTTGTGGTCAGTCATTTAGTGCTGCCTGCGGTTGTCGACACAGTAGCACTCAGCTCTTCCCCCCTTGCGCCGCCCTGTCCCCCTCCTGCAGTTTCCTGATTGATCTGTTGATTAGCCACCCATTGCTCCTGCCTGCCTGTCTCAGCCTTGGAGATGGTATTGTGTGGGACTGTAGATGGGTTTGACCCTTGCTCATGCTCCCTGGTGCTTGTCTCCCTCCCTCCCCTTTCCTCCCTCATCCACTTAAATTACATTTACTAGAGGGATTTATTGACGTTTATTTCAGTGCTGCAGTCAGCTGTATGTTATCTCAATGGGAGAAGGGAGAATTGCTTGACACCCCTTATTTTTTTACAATGGCAGCATTAGGGGAGGCAGATCACTAACCAACCGTGTGTGTGTCTTTGTCTGGGTCTAGTTAGCCCTCTAAGGGAAAGGGAAAGGGGGATACCTAGTAAATTGTACAACTGAATGCATTCAACTCTAACACTAAGATGCTGTGTCAGATTTCCATTGACAATATGAGAAAACCACATCCATTGAATTATTGTGTTAGCAAATTCCCTGTCCAGTTTACACAGCTAATCCTGTTATGGCAACATTGAGGCCATGTTAGTATGATACCTGTCACTGTGATGTCATTTTAACCCGACCTTTTACTCTCTCTGTTACAGGGTAGTAATGTGATGGAGGAACAGGACCTGAGGGAGATAGGCATCACAGACCCAGGACATCGGAAGAAGATCCTGCATGCAGCTCGATCCCTGCCAAAGGTGAGCCTCTCCAAACTACTGACTTTAATGAGTTCCCCTATGGCCCCATGCAGTAGCTCTGGCTAGTGTGATCAGCCCTTACTATGTTGGGACTGGAGTGATCAGTATGTGACTGTGTCTCCCCTTGCAGGTGAAGGCCCTGGGCTGTGACGGCAGCATCTCTCTCTCCTCCTGGCTGGACCTCCTGGGCCTGCAGGAGTACCTACACAACTTCCTTTCCAGCGGATACCGCAGCCTCGACTGTGTCAAGAACCTGTGGGAGCTGGAGATTGTCAACGTGAGTCTGTCTCTATGAAATCTACTTTGAGAGCGCACATTTTGAAATAGCTATTTAATTTAATGGTAAATATGTGCCAAATGGCAATATGCTCAATGTGTTACAGTGGACTTAACCTGAAATGTGTGTTGGGGATGTTCAGAGGTTATGACTGTTTTGTATCTTCCAGGTGCTGAAGATCACCCTGCTGGGACACAGGAAACGCATCATCGCCTCGCTGGCAGAGCGGCCCTATGAGGAACCTCCTGTCAAGCCCCCCCGCCTGTCCCAGATCAGGTGTCAGGACTTGGTATCCCAGACCTCCTCTCCCATCAGTCACATGGACTCCTACGCGGGTCGTTCCATAGACCCCCTCCTGCTGTTCGGGGAGCCTGGGAGGAAGAAGGGGCCTGACCCAGATTATGATGTGGCCCCCCACCGGCCCCGCAGTGAAAGACACCGCTCACATGAGAGATATGAGGAGCGGCATCGGGAGCCCCGTCTGACCCTGCGACCTCCCAGCCTGGCAGCACCCTACACCCCTGTACAGAACTGGCACCACCAGCCTGAGAAGCTCATCTTTGAGTCCTGTGGCTATGAAGCCAATGTAAGGGACACCTTTTCCTGCAGTAACTTAACTCACTAATGGCTTTCTTTAAGATATATGGTCTCCCACTCTCTGTACGACTATATTATGTCCTCTCCTCTCCTTCCTCTCCTCTCTCTCTCTCACTCTTCTCTCTCTCTCTCTCCTCTCTCATCTCTCTCTCTCTCTCTCTCAATCAATCAATCAATCATCAATCAATTCATCACTCAATCAATCATCTATCTATCTATCTATCTATCTATCTATCTATCTATTACTACTTCTATCTACATCGACACGTATGCAGTCTTAGCACTACTACACTCATGACGATCTACATCTTATCTATCTGCACTATCTATCATCTTCTATCTATCTATCTATCATCTATTAATCTACTATCTATCATCGTCTGACTATCTACTGACTATCTATCTATCTATCGATCTATCTATCGATGCGCTATCTATCTATGCGACTACTATCTACTATCTATCTATCATCTCATGCGAGCATCATATCTATCTGATCTATCTATCATCTATCAGCTGTCACATCAGCTATCTACACTAGCACTCGGCTACCGATGACCCTCCTGCTTTCGGAAGCGACCAGAATGGCGGTCCAAAAGCGGGCGACCCCCACAGCTGACAGTAGGCACCGCACAAGAAGAGATGGCCCACTCGCCAGAAGCCTCGCCCCGCCCAGGAAGAGCCGACCAGAGAACGCAGACAAGAGCACAGCGCGTACAGCAGGAGCGACAGCGCGCACCGTGATGCACACAGCGAGCACTACGAGCTACATCAGCAAGCAGCAGCACTACTGCAGCACTGAGACAAGCACAGAAGCACTACACTAGAGCATCGAGCAGTCGAGCACGACATCGACACGACATCTGCACGACGTGACATCATGCAGCAACACACAGCACAAGCACACACAGCGACTAGCAGCACAGCGAGCAGCACTAGTCTAGCGACTCTACAGCTATCTAGACTGCAACATCGACAGCACAGCAGCTAGTCTAGCTACACGCTAGCTACAGCTCGATGCATGCGATCATCATGCACAGCACATCAGCAGCACACACGTACAGCAGCTAGCACGACAGCAGCTGAGCGAGCGACGAGCAGCGAGCGACACGAGCGAGCGAGCAGCACAGCACGAACAGACGAGCAGCGACAGCACAGCGAGTCACTAGCGAGCAGCAGCAGCGAGCGATGCAACGACAGCGAGCAGCGAGCAGCGACGAGCGACTACAGCACAGCAGTCAGCACGAGCAGCACGAGCACGAGCGAGCGAGCGAGCAGCGAGCGAGCGGAGCGAGCAGCACAGCACGACGAGCGAGCAGCTAGCGACATCGAGCAGCATCGACGTAGCAGCTGAGCGACGACGAGCGATACAGCGAGCATCGAGCTGAGCGAGCGAGCATATGCTAGCGAGCGACGAGCGAGCGTATCGAGCGAGCGAGCGAGCGAGCGAGCGAGCGAGCGAGCGACAGCGAGCGAGCGAGCGAGCAGCGAGCGAGCGAGCGACGAGCGACAGCGAGCTAGCGAGCATGCACAGCATACATATGAGCAGCGAGCGAGCACGACGACAGCAGCACGACAGCGAGCGAGCGACGAGCAGCATGCGACTAGCAGCAGCAGCGATAGCACGACGTAGCGAGCGAGCACGAGCGATCAGCGAGCGAGCTAGCTGAGCGAGCTGAGCGCACTACGAGCAGCGACGAGCGTAGTCGAGCGAGCAGTACAGCGACTAGCATCTAGACGTATCGAGCTATCGAGCGACGAGCGAGCGATCTAGCAGCTACATAGTCTAGCAGTCGAGCGACGAGAGCATCGAGCGACTAGCGACATCGATCGAGCGAATCGATCTGACCCAGCTAGCACAGCGATGCAGCTAGTCAGTCAGCTACGAGTCTAGCTGAGTCGAGCTGACAGCATCGAGCACTATAGCACAGCAGCTATCGTACTGAGCGTACGACATCAGCACTAGTCTAGCGATCGTACACGTATGCGACATCAGCGACAGCGAGCAGCGATCGATCGATCGATCATGCTAGCACACTAGCTACACGAGCGACGTATGCGACGACATACGAGCATCTATGCGTATCTAGCTAGCAGCGATGGACGACGATCAGCTAGCTACAGCTAGCGATCTAGCACTACAGCTACATCACTACATCTATCTACATCTACATCTATCATCTCGATCACTATCATCTATCTATCTACACATAGTCGAGTCTGAGCACTTATCTATCATCTAGCTTATCTAATCTATCTATCTATCTATCTATCTATCTATCTATCTATCTATCTATCTATCTATCTATCTATCTATCTATCTATCTATCTATCTATCTATCTATCTATCTATCTATCTATCTATCTATCTATCTATCTATCTATCTAATCTAATCTAATCTAATCTATCAAGTACCTGGGATCTATGCTCATCAAGGAGCTACGGGGGACAGAGTCCACCCAGGACGCCTGTGCCAAAATGAGGGTAGGTCACACTTCTAACTACTACTCTAGTCTCCTCATGTTTAGAGAGAAATCATTCTCAAACATCTCAGCTGAAAGGACCCAGACTTTCCTCCTTCTCATGTTTTCTCTCTCTCTCTCTGTCTCTCTCCCTCCCCCCTCTCTCGCTGTCTCTCTGTCAATCGTTCTCTGTCTCACACCCTCTCGCTCTTGCTCTTGCACTCTCGCTCTCTCTTTCTCTCGCTCCCAGAGGTCGACAGAGCAGATGAGGAAGGTCCCCACCATCGTCCTCTCCATCACATACAAAGGGGTGAAGTTCATTGACGCAGCCAATAAGGTTGGTTGGCTGGGAGCGCCTATTTCACCTTGGACCTGATCCGTACAGCAATATCTGAAAACTAGACAGACATACATACACCTGTCCCAGCCAGGGAAGCTAGACACCAGGGGAGGAGGAGGCTGCCCAGTATCACATCACTCCTATCACATTGATCCAGCCCCACACTCTCTCTCCTTCATACTAAATGTCACCCCTGTCTGTTAATGACAGATAGTTCTTTATTGAGGGCAGGAGGTTGAGGGGTCACAGGGTTGAAGCTTCTATGTCGCCATTGCAATTAAGAACATATTGACATGTTCTTTCATAGTGGAGACGTGAATGTGATATTTATTGATGTCTCTGTGACTATACATACAGGATACTCATTGTAGTGTCTTGTTGGACTCTCCTCCCATACAGAACATCATAGCTGAGCATGAGATCCGGAACATCTCGTGTGCGGCCCAGGACCCGGAGGATCTGTGCACGTTTGCCTACATCACCAAGGACCTGCAGACCAACCACCACTACTGCCATGTGTTCAGCACAGTGGACGTGGTGAGAATACATGCCTACACAATCATCCCACTATAACCCAACCACTCCAGCGTGCAGTGACGTGACTTGACTTAATTGTATGCTATACTATCGCATTAGTTTCAGAATATGTCCAAATTAAGACATGTTATTGCCTCACCACACAGCACAGTACATATAAAAAATATCTTTCAACTGTAGATTCAAGTCCATACAGAATGGTCTGTGATGTCCTCTCCTCTGTCCTCATGTTGGTTCCTTCCCAGCCACCTTTTTTAATCCTCAGAGGAGATGTGACTCTGACTGGCAGCAGCACAGTATCACTGTTATCTTTACTCTCTAGACCAGCTTATCTACCTGTGAGGTTTCACACTTCAGCAACGCTTGATTGCCATTTTCCGATAGAGTCATGGCGCTATGTGGCCATCACTAGATGGCCAACCTCCACCACGCCGTTCCTCCTGAGAACTGATGATTTGTCTAAACCAGGGTTCCCCACGCTTTCTGAGTAATTTTATAAAATAATGTTGGACATTAAGGACTGTAAAATCACCAGGAATTCAGCTCAATGTGATTTTCATTTAGGAAATCTGTTCCCAAGTATTCCCACGCATAAATAGAGAGATCATATCCCAATGTAATCAAGGTTTGAAATATGTTTAATAATATAATATAATATATTGTTGTTCTGGCCCACCGACCATCCGCTCAAGAAAAAATTGGCCCACGGCTAGGGCTGTTACGGTGACCGTATTACCACCACACCGGCGGTCACGAGTCATGGCGGCAGTCAAATTCCACGTGACCGTTTAATCACGGTAATTAGGCTTCTCCAAGCTTTGATGCTGCTGATGGTCATTAGTAGCCTACCAAACTTGCTAACTGCCTGGTACTCAGCACTCTATTGTCCCTGTAATCACTCTGACATCAATGCCAAAAGAGGAGGATCCCATCAGATAGGCCTACTATATTTATTTCTCAACTTTCCTAATATTAAGCACATTGCTTCTATTTACAACAGGAGTATAGCCTACCTGGCTGGCATGAAAATGAACCACGAGAAAAGTGTTGTCCTTTCACTATTTAAGTGCATAGATTACATGTATTTTTTCCCCCGCCCCTGTTCCGAGACAGGTGCATGATAATGGTCCATTCTAAATCAAAACTAATTTCACACATATATTATTTAGTATATGTTAAGACAAGATTAAATCAAGAATAGTGTGATGGGTGACAATATTAGCCTATCACTTGTGAATGATATATTATCACTTGTGAATGATGCCCAGCTTAAGGCAAGAAACAGTGAATGCTTTTTTTTTGCTACTTTTTCAAATCATAGTTGCACACCTCATGTAGCCTAGCCCATAGGCTTATATGTTTTGATAAGGTTTGTATCACAACTAAAATGGCCAAATAAGTTCTTAAAATGAAGCACATTAATACGCTTTACAATGTGTGTAGAGCCTAACTGGCATACATACACAGCGTGTGAGTTTCAAATTTGGAGAAGATAATTTTCACCATAAAAATGTCCCTTAATAAAAAAGCATTACATGCATAATCACATTTGTGAATGGTGTTTACGTGCTAATGGAACATTTGTGCTTATAGCCTACTGCCATGTGCGCATTGCTGCGCTTAGAATAGTTTATCAACATTTTAAGCTAAACGTTCTCATCTGTTGCGTCAGACTCATTTCTTAAAACAAGTTTTTTTATTCTAGTGGTTGTATTAACCACTAGCATCTATCGCATCCCACAACTGTCCCAGACTATGTTTGGTATATTTATTTCTCGCACAGAATAGAATAGGTCAACTTTTGTACTATGGGGGATAGTAGATTGGCATTGGCTGACGAAAAGTAAATGTGGACAGTTCTTCCAATATCTTCAATATGCGCCTCGGAATTGGATAAGGACGCGCGCAGTTGCGTCCCGGATGTGTCTGTCTTCACTTGTAGCCTTTGAGAAAGACCCGATCACGTGACGGAGAGCCATATGAGTGAGAGGTTCTTCTGCACGCAGCCGGAAGAAGAAAATTATAATTATTATATTCAGCCCAAGTGCACTCAGCCCACTGCCTAATGGCATAGCCTGATCAGGGTCTAACATTTACATTTACCAGAGCGACTTACAAATTGGTGCATTCAACTTATGATATCCAGTGGGACAACCACCTTTTTATTTATTTTATTTTTATGGGGGGGTGGGGGAGGGGGGGTAGAATGATTACTTTTATACTATTCCAGGTATTCCTTAAAGAGGTAGGGTTTCAAGTGTCTCCGGAAGGTGGTCAGTGACTCCGCTGTCCTGGTGTCGTGGGGGAGCTTGTTCCACCATTGGGGTGCCAGAGCAGCGAATAGCTTTGACTGGGCTGAGCGGGAACTGTGCTTCCATAGAGGTAGGGGGGCTAGCAGGCCAGAGGTGGATGAACGTAGTGCCCTCGTTTGGGTGTAGGGTCTGATCAGAGCCTGAAGGTAAGGAGGTGCCGCTCCCCTCACAGCTCCGTAGGCAAGCACCATGGTGCATAAGGACAACTCAGAGTATGCTATTCTGTTCTTCTGAAATAGACTACATTTTCTTCATATCATGTTTCTTTAGACCTGTCTAAAATAAATAATGGATTTATTATACTTTTTTAAATGTAGATGTTCCAAAGGTCTGCATCAGTGGCTTGTAGGCTGACAAAATGTCATGACCGCCACAGCCCTACCCACGGCTGAGTGTAACTCTAAAGCTTTTCACATTTAATACTGTAGGGGTCATCTAAGGCCACTGAGTAACTACTACAGAGGCTGGTACAATAGAAATAACATTCATAGAACGGACATCCCCATTAAAGTCAATGGGTGTTTTTCTATGGCTGGTCCCACCTTTCTGAGAGGTCTGATGTTGGCCCTGTGGCCTGTGTTGTACTCTATAGGGCTGTGAACTGAATGGCCTCATCAGGGGTAATGCAGTAGACTGTTGACTATCTGAGATGAGGTGAGGTGGGGGAGTATAAAAGCCCGGAGATGTGATTAGAGCTTTTTAACAGTATTGACCAGGCTGCTATCGGACTCCCCCAGACGCCACAGGCTCATTTTTCACCAGCCCACACGATGGGACGGATCCCAGATCAGATCAAAGGATATAAACAGAGAGAAGGTTCCTCGGAGACACAGACTAATAATCAGCCTTCTGTTTTTCTCAAGCTGGAGTTGTTTTGTCACTTAACTTTACAAGAATATGTTTAACAGAGCCAATCAGGTGGTGTCTCACTGGAGTGGGTTGAGCTGCCCAGTGGTGCTGTATGTGTCAGGGACAAAGAGTATCAGAGGAAGCCATTAAAATCCATCTTTCTATATGCAAAACAAATCCAGGGCTTTTTGGGTGTACAAATAAACACACACATGGACCCCCCAATGTTTTTGTCTCAATCTCTGGTCCCGAGTGTATGTTCACCTTCATCTGCTCCTATCCACTATTTAGAATCTGTCTGAGTGTTTTAATGTGATGCAGCTCCAGCCTCAGTGGGTTGCAGTAGCAGGTGTTTGCAGTCAGGGGACAGAGAGGGAACAGCTTGCTGTCTCGCTACACTTCCTCTCTGACAGCTCTCTCTGCCATTGAGTTAAGTCTGTTTACAAAGTTGTATATGCAAATAAAGTATTTGATTCCATTGAAGACTGAGCATCTCTCCTGGGTCTTTGGAGGAGACTGTCCACTGAGCTGAGATTGTGGCTTGTTGTGTCTCATTCACTCAATGTGTATGCTTTTAAATACTGTACATACTTAGCCCCTGACTTGTCTTACCTAGGAATTATAGATGCACCGTATGCCTGTAGCGCATTTGATGTTTTACTTTCATAATGACTAAGACTCAGTCTGCTCTAGACTTCTTCATTTCACACTGAGTGATGCAGCAGCTTCATATTCAGGAGCATTGGTGCATGTCTGTCTGTTGACATGTAACTTAACGTAGCAGGCATAAAAGAAACGCCCCAGTGGGGTCCCCACATCCGGTTTTCAGGGTAAAAGGAAGCTAGGTTGACGATACTGTATCCATGAAAACCGGATGTTTCTGGTTTCCTCCAACCGTACTGAGGGTGGTTGATATGGGAGACAGGAGGAGGGAGTAGAATACTGAGCAGGATTCTGTCTCCTCCCCCTCTGGTAGAACCTGACATATGAGATTATCCTGACGCTGGGACAAGCATTTGAGGTGGCCTATCAGCTTGCTCTCCAGGCCCAGAGGACCAAACAGCCCCAGGGCATCCCAGCAGGACCCGGGGCAGAGGTCATCGAGACCAAATCCAGCCGGCCCGTTCCCAAACCACGGGGCAGCGTAAGAAAGTTAGGGGTGAGTTTGTCACACACACACACATTTATATTTTATTCATTTAGCAGATGCTCTTATCCAGAGCGACTTACAGGAGCAATTAGGGTTAAGTGCCTTGCTCAAGGGCACATCAACATATTTTTCACTTAGTCAGCTCGGGATTCAAACCAGCGACCTTTCGGTAACTGGCCCCACGCTCTTAACCGCTAGGCCACCTGCCGACGCACGCACACACGATTCTCTCATTGGGAATACATTGTGAAAATCTGCCAGTAGCAACACGCCATTAGCATTAAACCATTAAGGGATGGATTGCTACTGAATGATAATGTTACGATCACACGGCTAGGACCATTCATTAGAAATTACAAACAGAACGTGTGTTCACACACAATCTCATCCTGCCTTTAATGGGAATGGTGTGATGTTTGCTTGGCATGAAAACCACACAAAGACAAACACCTCAAAACCAACCTACCACACTGTCATCATGGCTGTGCTGAACAGTTATGTACTGATGTTAATGTAGCGGAGGGGGGGTTGATTCACCACAGCATGGGCACATCACTCATCGCTCTCATCGGTACACACACCTGAAATCACACACACATCTCTTGTTAGAATCTGTCCCTACATCCTGTTTCCCTCCGGTCTGTTTTTCTCCCTCCCACCTTCCCATGATTCTCTCTCTCTCTCTCTCTGTCTCTCTCTCTCTGTCTCTCTCTCTCTCTCTGTCTCTCTCTGTCTCTCGTTCTCTCTCTGCTCGTATCTCTCCTCTGTTCTCTCTCTTCTCTGTCTTCTGCTCTCTCTCTGTCTAGCTCTGTCTCCTTTCCTCGCTGTCTCTGTCTCTCTCTCTGTCTCTCTACTCTGTCTCTCTCTGCTCTCTCTCTCTCTCTCTCTCTCTCTATCTCTCTCTCTCTGTCTCGTCTCTGTCTCTATCTCTATCGCTGTCTCGTCTCTCTCTCGCTTGTTCTCTCTCTCTCGCTGTCTCTCTCTCCTCGATGTCTATCTCTCTTTCTAGCGGTCTCTCTCGATGTGCTCTGTCTCTCTTCTCTCTCTTCTCGCTCTCTAATCTCTTCTCTCTCTCTCTCTCTCTCTCTCTCTGTCTCTGTCTCTCTCTCTCTCGCTGTCTCTCTCTCTCTCGCTGTCTCTCTCTCTCTCGCTGTCTCTCTCGCTGTCTCTCTCTGTTGTCCATTCACTTCCCCTGCGTCAATGTCTCTCTGTATGTGTCTCTGTCTCTCACTTCCTGGCTGTCCTGTCTGTCTCTCCCAGGACTCTCCTCCCCTGATGGACTCCTGCTGTTACTGTCACACCTGCACCACCCACCGTCCCTCCCTCCTTCCTTCCTTCCGCTGCACCACTCTTTCCCTCTCTCCTCATCCTTCTATCATCCACCCTTCCTACATAATTTTACGTGTTACTGCCTTGGCTTGATCTATCCCCCCAATCACCTATACAGTTCTCACATGTTCTCTCCTCACCTTCGATCCATTCACATTACTCATTTATCTCTCCTCTTCACACCTCATTTTCTCTCTGTTTTTGTCTCAATGGGGTTCCCAACCTGGAATCAAATTATTATTTTTTCTTTCAAAATGTGAAATTTTGAAACACCATCAACTCTGTTGATTACTGTGTTGTTCTTTACTAGACCCCTTGATAGTTGTAAAACCTTTGGAAGCCCCCTAGTGGTATGAACATTCCAGGTTGGTAAACACACTTTTGATTTGGTGATGATGATGTGCTATAGCTTTTCCCTCAGTGGTTCTTCTGTTCATATTTTCTTAATCACACTTACTTAGTATAATGACTCACCATGATTTATCTGATTTCACAACGCTTTCAGAGAAAGGAAATGATGATCTCAGAGTGACTAACGTAGCTCAGCACACCGATTGCATTTGTTGGCTCTCACCCTAAGTCTGACTTGTATGCTGTCTCTGACCCCCCCTCTGTGTCCCTTACCCCTCCAGGTGGACCCGTTGGAGCTGGAGGTGGACTCCCAGTCCCAGGGCAGCGCCACGTGGCTGGTGGACCCCGTCCCCAAGGACTCCAAGAGGACCATCAGCACTAAGTACGAGACCACCATATTCTGAGTAGACCTGCCTCCTCACCTCTCCTGACATTACATTGCCTTAAAGGAGGAGAGAAATCCGGAGGATAGCGATAATAGTGCGCAGGACAGTAGAGAATATCGCATCTCTTACTCTCCTCTCCTCTCTCCTATCTCCTCTCTTCCTCTCCTCCTCCTGTGTGCCTTTCAATGTGACTCTGCCTGTCTCTGCTCCGGGCCTGACCCTTGCCCACCTGCTCTCCTCTGTCTCCCTCCACCTCCTTTCCTCTCCTCTGCCACTGTTGGACCCTGCTGTCTGAGATGTCTTTCCCCCCCAGTCAGTCTACCACATCTACCCTCTGCTCTCCTCGCCACTGTGCTGTCTCCCCCCAACCACAGCTCTGTCTGTGGGGACTAACTGTTACTGGACCACTCTCCTACCTGGAACACGTACACCCTGCTTCTTCCCTCTGATTAATAAGTGCTGCCAACTACTGGGCCCTGAATCCTTCTAACCTGCTCTATGATTGTGAAGCAATCCTCAACCTTTCCGAGGCATTTACTGTAGTTCCTCTAGCCTTTGTGACCAAGAAGCATGAGACCTTATCCTTCTACAACCTTCCCTCTGTTTTGTTTTCTCATGAACCCTGTGCTTCCCTCACATTCACATTGGCACTGCATTAGCCCTGCTTTAAATTTGGTAATGTATGGTGCTGTTATTTGTAGCATTTACAAATGCTAGTATGCTCAGTGGCATTATCTGACAGTTCCAGTACAGTAGCTGTGATGTGTGTAAGACAGCTCATGTAATCCACAAGTCACTGATTAAGGTTGTTCAGTGGTAGCGATCTCCATTTTACCTACAGTACCTTCCCACTTCTCACTACTCCTATTTCCCTCTTACTCACAAACTACTATCCCCCAAGCTCTCTTAGGACAATCCTTAATTTTTCCTTCTATATATCCCTCTTTTATTTTTCATTCCTTTTACTCATCAATCTTGTTTTCTCCTCTGGGTGCTTTTCCTGCTTTACCAGGCGACGGCCACTGTGAGGCGCTCTTGAAGAACTTTCCCTCCTTGTTTTCTGAACAATAATCTCCTGACTCCAGTGCTCAGAAAAAAAATATATGATTCTCTACAGCCAAGGATCACCTACCTGGATGAACATTGTTTTCCAGAAGAATCTGTAAGAGACTCACTGTTCCATTGTTCTAGCTCTACGCACATTAGTAGGAACATTGCCTGTTTCCCTGCAAGGGGATGGAAGACAACGCTGTTGCACAGGACTAAACCCTAAACCCATCCCCCCTGGGATTAGTCCATTTGGGTTAACAGGGGGAAGGGCACATTCATGCGTATCCTGTCAGACTTATTTACACTCTGTGTCGGTTTACCGGAAACTGTCTGGGAAAACTGGCCCTCTGTGTCAGACTGCCAAAGGAGGCTAGGGTCCAGCACTGTGATAGGAACTAATGGAGGTAACGTTGATAGGGCCTTTGTTAGGGAATGACAGTGGGCAGGATAGGACACAGAGGCTCACACAGAATATAGTGTCCTACCTAGACAGACAGACTTGTGGGACATCTATTTGAGCATGCCTTTCTCTGTTAATGACTGAGATGACTTTGATTTAATATCTGAGCACTTTTTGTGAATGCTTGGATGCTGGGCAAATATTGTGTGCATCCAAGATGATATGAGGAGAAATTGAATTGACTGTTCATTTAATAGAGTAGGAACCAAAGAGATGCCAAAATGCATGAATTCTGCTCTAGCCACCCGTAATAGACCTGGGTGAAGGTCTTAGGGTAATAACCCAGCCTAGCTGGTTCATCAATCAATATAGAGCTGATTAGTGCCAGTAACCTTAATGAAGAGGAAGAGAGCTAAATGAAGTACGTTAAAAAAAGAACAACATTGTTCACAATCCAAGCACGTCTTAATGGACTGAAAGAGGAAGGCATTAGCTTGGCAAGGCACTGATTCTACATATAGACATATTAAAAGTACAGCATTACATACTGTTGCTTTGCTAGGTTCAGCGCATTAAGTGTTCAAATCACTGTTCACATCAATCTAAATTCAAACTCATCGCCATATTCCAAATAGTGTTAAGACCCAATCAACCCACTGAATGCCTGTGGAAACTAAAACACAGCGGAATGGGGGACTTTCCTTTCCTTCCTTTTCACAACTCATGCCTTCTTGATGTTCACGTTGTCATTAATGGCTGGCTGTCTGTGTTTGATTTAGAATCCACCCTGCCTCAGTCAATATTCAGAGTGCTAACATTGAAGTGGCAGTTGATCATTATCTAGAAAAATCCATCATTTCTATATCTCCTCCATTTTGTTTTCAGTTGGCTCAGTCATGTTTTTACATTATTTTAATCCCAGTGCTGTGTTGGTGTGTGTCTCTCTCCCATGTAGCTGACTACAAGGCCAGACACCCAGCCAGAGTGAGAGGTCAGGTGTGCCCAGACCAATGGTATTTTGTTGTGGGGCAGGATGCCCTTTTGGAACCAAGAGAAAGGCCAGGCCCACTTTCCATGCACCCCTCAACCCACTGGGGGTCGTGCTTGCATACACCAGGAAGGCCCTACCTGCTCTCTGCCGCCTCCTCATCCTCCACTTCTTCAGCTCCAGTGGTCAGCGCTGTAGCTCTGTATCAGACAGACAGGAAGTCAGCTACTGGCTTCTTCCACCTTGTCCTGTCCTTTGACCACTGTGTGACTGACTGCCACCAGGCAGTAAACCCAACCAACCAACACCCTCACTGCATCCACTTACATATACTGGACAATGGACTCTATGTCAAAGCTTGGTCAGTTATCTAGAGATCACAAAGGTGGGTGTTTGTTCGGTACGTGTCTCTCTTTCATTGTGAAGCACTCAACTTCAACATCCCTCCTTTTCTGTTTTTGGTTAAAAATTAAAACATGTTTATCCTTTACAGTCCATTGAATGCTGTTCAGACAAACCGTGTGTTCTATCTATGGGTACGAGAGTGACAAGTTCCCAGTTGTTGTTTTTTCCCAGACATTTTGTGACTTGTTTATCTATTCCATGAGAGGTGAAAATGGTTGCCTCTCTAGATTGGCACCTCAAACAACTCCTCCTCAGAGGCCTGTCCCATACACTTAAATGTGTCTTCACTGAGGGCTACGCTAAGCTACTCTGACAGTGATAGTAATCAACATAAATTATAGTTTTTTGAGCAGAGGAAATCGAGATCCTACCTGAATATCTCAGTGAAATACCTATGGGAAATGGGAGACAAAATTAGATAGAATGAATTAAAGTTGTCCTCGGTATGCTATACTCACAAGGTTACAATTGGGTAGAATGATTACAATGTGAGATGCAGCAGTTCACTCACAGGCTCTGTCCTGTCCATCCATCCAAGCACCAGGTCAGCTACATCAAAGCATCTCTTTGTTATCTTAATTTCTCTCATTCATAACATACAGAACTGTGATAAATAATGGAATAGTGTGTGGGAGGAATTTTGGAGGGCTGTTAAACTGACACTACAGATCATATTTAAACAGGGTGAATGGCTTTTATTTGATAAAAATAATAATGTATTGTGTCTTTTTGTACGTTTTAACTGTCCTGATGCTGGATACTATATGACCAGGCTGGTGTTAGGAGGTAGTCCTACTGATTGCATTTTATTCCCCCTCACTTTATTTCTGATTTAATTTTGAACTAGTCAAACCACAAAACCAGTCATGTAAGAGTTTAGGTACAATAATATACACAGCATTTTCTCCCCATACGGTATCTCTCCTGGTACTTAGACTGTTTTGGGTACTCTGTGGGCAGCTAGTGATGAGCCTCTGTTGGTATGTTGACTAGTTATGGTACACTCAATATGGTACACTGGCTTCAGCTGGTTGATGTTAGCACCTGCAGCCATCAACCTGGTCCCATCTTCGCATTTGCACATTTGCTAAGGATCATGTGTAGTACAATGGGACTATTCTGATGATATTGATGATGACTATGATGATGATGAGAACAATATTGGATTGTAAATTAATCTCTAGCAGTCTGTATTTTGATACTTGAATGATTTTGCTTTTATAGATATCTATATATCTATATATATATCTATATATGTATATGTATGTATGTAATTTTTTTTGCCACATATGTTGTAAAGAGGAAAAGGACTGTGTCTTATAAAGTTCAACATATCATGATACCCAACGATTGAAAACGGACTGTGAGAAAGAACTCTGAGCGACCGCACTACAGAAACAAAGAAAAAATATTGTAAATAATCTAGGGCTTCCAGTCTTTTTATGATTATTATTTTTCATAATTGTACAACTAATAAATGAAGAAATGATTAACCAGATTCCTCTTTTCTTTTTTCATTACAATCATTCAGCCATGAAGAGTTTCATAGTACTATCCTTTACATTTATGTAGTCCGAGACAGACAAGCAAAAATGGTGATGATAGTATGACAAACCAACATGAACAAGTCTGAGCAAGGGAAATGGACAGGCTTGACAGTGCATCTATTGAAACAGCTGATATTCAGATATTTATACCAAAATGAATTCCTCATTGGATTTACTGGGTAGTGTTAACTGAGGGCCAGGATAGTCAACAATACATGTATTTCATGTTTCAATAAAAAGAGGACAAAGGCCAGTGAGGAGGAGAACAGCAGAAGAGATCGACAATTGGTTGGGAATGGCACAGGTTTACATTTTTCATACATATGTTTTACCGTTTAGAAATGAAAGCACTTTATGTACAGTGCATTCGGAAAGTATTCAGACCCCTTGACTTTTTCCACATTTTGTTACATTACAACATTATTCTAAAATGGATTAAATTGTTGTTTTTGACAAATCAAAAACATTTACATAAGTATTCAGACCCTTTACTCAATACGCAGTGGCGGCTCCTGAAAAAATTCTCAGGAGGGGCAATTTTTCTGATGATTTAGGTGACCTACACACATTTAAAAAAAGATATGTCCAGCAACAACATGAAGACAGGGGCAGCATATAAGTCAATACC